GTGGGTGGGTGTGGGTGTGGGTGTGGGTGTGGGTGTGGGTGTGGGTGTGGGTGTGGGTGTGGGTGTGTGGGTGTGGGTGTGGGTGTGGGTGTGGAAAGAGTAGACTCCCATCCGCACCCACACCCGCGCTCCACACCCACACCCACACCAACACCCACACTCTTAGTGCTTTAATTGATGAAGAAGTAATATACTCTATAAATAGAATTAGTTTAAAGTTCGATTCTCGGCAAGAACTTGATCGAAGTTCATTTATAATATTCGCAAGTAGCGAGAGTTTCTCAGTGATCTGCCTCTGCATGCGTCATTGTTCTAATAAAAAGGAGAAATCATTCTTACTCGAATTTTAAGAGTAGGTTATCATTTGCCACAAATTGTGGTTCCCTAAATCACTCCCTGCATCGAATTCCTATTTGTGGATACATGAAACGCTATCGTATGTTCTGATGACAAAATAGGGATTAATTTAGGGATCTTTTTTAGGGACCAATTCAGGGAATTGCAAGTTGTGGCAAATGATAGACATTCAATTTTAGGTACACACATTTGCATTTGGACCCTTTCTCTTCATTAATTTCTCGACTATTTATTCACTTTTGTGGAAAAAATTTGTTTGCAGCAATGAAAACAAAGAATAGTCATATGAAAACTAAAATTTAGCCAAACATAGCAACGCATTCTTCGACAATTTCATGGTACCCATAGCCTTGTTTGCTGATTGCACGATGAACTTGCTGAATTTGATCCTTGTTCAATTCACGACCAATTGCTCTTTCGCAGGCCCGAATAGCAGCAGCAAATGTTTTATTTTCATCCTGATTGTTAGCTCGGAGGAAAGTTTCGTGCTTAAGTGCACCATCACTAGCACCAACATTCCATGTCGATGGGACGGAATAAACATATACGGCCGAAATTGTGCCAATTATAAACACCATTATATAAAATGAAATATATGCCATGATTACTAACGATAATAGCTTTTGCTTTCTAAAACGCCTTGAGAATGACAATAACGAAGAATAGTGATTGCTACTTATGGGCTTTATATAGGAGCACTAAATTATATTATGAAGACCCTTAAATGTTGAGACAATAGATAGCTTAATGTATCAGTTTACAATTAACTTTTCGCTTTGCCTAATCTTAAGTTTAATAGCTTTTTTCATCTATCATTGTCATTCGATATTTTGGAAATGGACCTTTTCTATTTTTACTTAGTATGAGAGGTAGAAAAAATCTATTAAACTTTGAATATGACGAAGCAATAAGTCATATGTCAACTGGTTGAAGGGGTGTGGGTGAGTGTGGGTGTGGGGTGTGGAGTGTGGGTGTCATGTCTTTATCGAACCAACTTCAACGCCCACACCCATACCCCACACCCCACACCCACACCCCACACCCACACCCACACCCCACACCCACGCCCTAACTTTCCGGACAATTCAATTAAAACAAGATATCGATGATCAAATATCATGTGCTCGAGATTTACTACTTCAAAAGCGTCATCAATCATCATCAGCTAAAAATATGATTGGTGTATCACCTGAACCATATATTGATCTTATTGTCAATCCATTCAATACATTACAGTGGAATCAACTTTCACCTGGTATGTTGTTTTAATATTAAACACGAGAAAAACAAAGTCATGATGATTTCTTATGATTTAGGTCCCTCTTATATAAGATTAAATCAAAGTGCTATTTGTCGAGAAAAAAAAACAACGGAAAGAAATACAAAAGGAACATAAAGCGATTTATAAGAAAGTTGAATCGAATCTAATTAATTATCAAGGTATTCCATTGAAAGCATCCGTTTTTAAACAATATTCAACGAATCTTCTTAATTATCTTCGGCATTGCTATTTGACTCCATTATCATATAAAGATCACCTAGAAGCTCAACAACAGGCACATATTGCTAGATCAATTCGAACGTTAATTAAAGAAAAAAGTCTAATTATTCGTCTTACTGATAAAAGTCATAATTTTTATATTGGTTCAGCAACTGAATTTAACAAAAAGGTACAACATTTTTTCGCTGATACAAATGCTTTTATGGAGTTGCCTGAAAATCCATTTAATGATATTGCAAGCAAAGTCATTCAATTCCTTAATAGACTTCGTGGAAAAGACCTTATTCGGAAATGGCACTATGAACAAATGATGCCTGATCGAACTAAGTGTCAATTAGCTCATTTATATTTTAATCCTAAAACACATAAGGTAGAATAGATATGTTTTTGGTTTCAATTAAATTTTTATTTACTCTATTTCATATTAAAGGATAACATACCCGTTCGACCGATTGAAAATACTATTCATACTCCAACAACAAATATTTCAAAATTTTTAGATAAAACATTACAACCTATATTCAATGACAAATGTAAAGAAACAAATATTATTGATGGTGCTTCTCTCATTGAAGGACTTCATAAATATATTCGAAAAGGTCTCTTTAAATCATCAACTCTTTTTTGCACATTTGATATTCATAACTTATACACAATGTTACCACAACACGAATCCATTGAAATACTTGGTGAATTTCTTGAAGTACTTGGATATACAAAAGTCAAAGGAATTGATGTTACTACAATAAAAGAATTAGCAACAATTGTATTACAAGAAAATGTTTTTGTCTATGACAAAAAAAGTTTATAAACAAACAACTGGTGGAGCAATGGGTTCATCGTTTACATTAACTCTAGCAAATATTTTTATGTGGAAATGGCAAAAAGAGTTTGTACGTCAGCAGGATATAACAAGTGAATTTTATGGCAGGTAAGTGTAAATAAGATATACAAAATAAATTTTACATTCATAACTTCATAGATATATTGATGATGTTTTTATGACATGGAATCGGTCTGAAAAAGAGTTACGAAAACTATTAGATAATGCCAATACATGGCATCCAAATATCAAGTTAGATTATAAAATTGACAAAAGTCTACCTTTTCTTGATGTACTTCTCACAAATAATAATGGTATTTTATTAACATCTGTCTATCATAAACCAGCAGCTGAACCCTATGTTACACCATTTCTTTCTGATCATCCTCGACATGTCTTTAAAAATATTATAGAAAATGCACTTACCAAGGCTGTTCGGTATTCATCTACAATACCAGTATTTGAAAACGAACAACGTCGTATTAAATTAATGCTATTATATAATGGTTAAGCTATGACTTCACATAAACTTAAGAATAATAAATATTTATTATCAATAAAACTGACTTATAGTTATCCATCATCATTCATTAACAAACAATTCCATAAATTTTTCATTAGATACATATCAACATCAACAGCATTTCTATCCAGTAGTACAGATAAACAACAATTTGAACAAATGCGTCATAATATTCTAAAAAAACCAACACAACAACAGTCACAAGTCACTTTAGGTATAGCAACAGCTGATCATGAAGGTCATCCTATAGACGGAAATATACACCAGGAAGCAAACAAAAACGATCATCAAGAGACTTCTCAAAAAAATAGGTACCATGGAATCTTATAATCTTACCTTTCAATTCTAGAAATAAACAAGACATCGGAACGGACGAAAACAACCGAAAATCTTGGAAAAACAAATTAGCATTGAAAGCCATAACAACAAATGTCTTTCATGATTAGACACTTTAAAAATCCTCCTCTGAATTATTAAAGCAAAATTTCGTTTTCAAATAGATCGCACACCTACGTCAAAAAACGACGACCATTGAATAATAACAAAACGACAATAATTACTAAAACCTTTTATTTATCTTCTAGATGAAAATAATCGAACGAATGCAACATCATCAACTCAACGCAAATCACTTCCTTTTTATTCCTCAGAAGACACTTCACATTTCACAATATCAAATAATCGCAACGACGAATCGATCATGGTCGCTTAACACACTACTGTAGAATGAAATTTCTATTACATTTCGAAGTAACAATGAAATTTCTCTGCTAATTTGGATTCATTCGAATTCAGATTGGTTAAAACCATTTGATAAGACCCGTGAGCAAGGTCGAAATCGACCATGGTAGCTTAACACACCCCACCCACACCCGCTCCATTAGTGAAAATTATCTATAATAGATGAATATCTTCATGATGAAATTATGAACATTTCATAGATTTATCTAATCATTCTTACTACTGCCCTGCCATTCAAAGCATTTCGAAGTACAGTCATTCCTTTTTTTCTTAAGTCAAACTGTTACTGCACTCTACGGTTTCTGAAGAAGAAAATTACTCCATCAAATAATCTCGATCTTTTAGTTCAGAAAATGTTTTGGTAACGTTTTATGATCGAGATAAGTCACGTTGTAATTCTCTTTCTTTGTGAATGTTTTCATATAAAATTTAGTATATGTTTATTCTGAATCGAAGCATTATCATTGGTATAGAATAGAAATAGAAAGAGCAGCATGATGAAAAAGTAGAATATAAAATAATATTATTTCATAACAATCGGGTAAAAAAAAGATAATTAATGAGGGTTATTCCGAATTCGCTTATAAGCCTCCAGCCAATAAAAATAGGGATGAACATATATCGTTTGTTGCTAAGAGCGGCTTGTCGTCTTTGAATTTTTTCTTTGCACTTTCTATTCGATTCATTTTCA